CAGGGGCGGGGGGGGTGGGGGGGGGGGGGGGGGAAAGGAAAAAGAAAACTCGGCTAGGAAAAAAACGAAAGGGGCTTGGGACATCTCACCCTTCGGCCTTGTATCTATCCTACCTTAGAGAAAGTTAAAATTACATAGATCCGGCGATTTGAAAATCCCATTTCATAAATCATAGATTATGTTTATCAAAAATCAGAAGTTTTGTTTATTAATATATTATTATTAGAAATTAATTACATAATTATTTTCCCTCCAGTCTCTACTCTCTCACCCTCTCTCTGCGCCCTAATAGCTTAAAATTGATTTCTCGGTAAACTACTCTAATTCTCCACACTGCAAATAGATTAGTCTCTAACCATCGTAGTTGCAACAGAAATGCTGCACGCAGCCATCGTGGTACCTAACTGGTTTATATTTTCAAATGGACAATGGTGTAGCTGAGCAACAATGCAACATCGCCCCGATGAGGTGCTATGGGATTGTTGACAAGGATGAGGATGAAGGCGGCCTAACAGATCTGTGCAGTGGCTTCCAGCAAGGTAAATAATATTGGCAGTGGAATGGTTGATCGATGCTGGTTTGTGTTAAAGGGTATCAGATGGTGGTCTCCGTTGTTGCGATGAAGTTGCGTGCAGTGGCAATGACGCAGCGACATCATTGTCGGTGGTGTGCGACTCTAATTTTGGATCTCAATCTAATTCTTTGGTGGTGTTTAGGTGGTTATAGTTGTGATGTTGGCTGCGGTAATAAGGTGGTGGTGATGTTGGCAGTGTTGGCGAGGTGGTAATGTTGATGGTGATGGTGATGGTGATGATGGTCGACGGTGGTTGTAGCAGTGGTGTGAGGGTTTGTGACCAATCATTTGGTTGATTGTAAATGTGTGATCAAAAAATAATATGCGATATAAAATTTTGATTCATGAATTATAAAATTTGTGATTTGTGATTGCTAAATAAATTGCAAGCTATAAAAGTTTTGATTTTGTGATCGATGAATAAATTGTGACATATAAAAATTTCTATTTGTGATTGAAAAATTTTTTTAGCCAATTAATTCGATAATTTGTGACTAAATCGTATAGATTTTTGACTATGAATAATAATTTTTTTTTAATTAATTAGTTCATAAATAAAATTTAACAATATCTGATTTTGAATTTTAAATCTTATTTCTTAGTTTTAAAATGAGTCATAGTTAAACTTTTAGATATGAATTTTTCCCTTATAAAAAACATGTTTATTTATTAAAATTTTCAACTTGAACCTCAACTTCAAACCATACCTATTGGTATATACTGCATATAAAGGTCTAAGTGGGAAAAAAATATTTTGGACCAAATCGTCCATACTATTCTTATACTGGGTTGATATGTCGAGCCACGTGTCCTCGGTTTCTAGCGTGCTTAAAATTATAGTGGCTTGTTATGGGTCGGGCCGTGCTACAGGTTTACAAGCTTTCACTTTAACATCATGCTTCTAAAGTTGAGCCTAGCATGACTCGCATATGATGATATGCAAAGCCTGATCGCGCTTTTTTCATGTGAGAGACATCTTTTTATCGACTGCCAAAGAGTTGTCTTCTTTATTAAGTAACTTCTAAAATTATGATTTAACTTTAAAATTTAAATCGTGTGTAATGTGAACATAAAAGTTCAACACTCAAAGTTAATAATAATAATAAAAAAAAAGACTATAAGATAAGATATTAGATGATAGTAGGTCTAGAAGTTGGGTAAATCGGATAGGGTATTTCAATACTCGTAACTATCCATACGTTTCGAATATTTTGGTAAATATGATATTAGGCCTAAATTGTACTCTTCATCGAGTAATGTCTAAAATCACATTCTTAACTCAAAACCACGAGTGAGATCTAATTAAAGGTTGAACACACACCTTCTTGGATTTGTGTTCTTAAAGCAATCAATACCACAATCTCGTGCATTCTGGATTTAGGTATTTGCAATCTTATCTGACATATATATTTGTTCAAAATATTTGATGGCATCGTATGAGATAATGAAGGAGACGATGGATGAGAATAGACTATTAACGAATGTGTTAGATTATAGCCAATTCCACTTCATACAATATTAAACAACATTGCACAGACAAGGAACGAGAAAAGATAATTTGCCCTAATGTAAAGTCACATTATCACCATGTTAGGACAAGTAGGAAAAGAACATAAAAGGAAGAGGCCTTGTCA